TGGTTTCCCTGTTTCTTCTAGGGAGGGAGTAAACTGTCTTGGCTTATACTGTGCTGCCGACTGGAGAGAGAGGGAGCAGAATCAAAGCTCCATCTACTCTTGCCACCACTGGCTATCTTAGTGGGAAGCCACCTAGTGTGCCAGCTTTTGTGTAACCCATTCTTAGGTGTCTGTCTCCCTCCATTCACTATACATGGAGTCTGAGTGCCTAACTCAAGCTTTGTGATTCCCACTGACTTTCTAGGCACCTCAGTTAGGTGTGGCAATGCTGAGCGTTGTAATGCCTAAGTTCCTCTGTTGAGCTAGCCCTTACTACTTTGTATCACCAAGTAAGCTTGGTCATGATTTGGACCTTAAGTAGCAACTTTCCTCAACACAGCATGGAACACTGCCCACATTTTATATTGCTAGGTCCTGTGTGTGATTTTTTCCTCCCACCTAAGGTGTCTATTTGCCAATATATCTGCACAAATTTATGTGAAATTAATGGATTTCACACAGCTAACCATCATTAACGGACATGGTCATATAAACCCCATATGCATGTGTAAGAAAATAGAATCCTATCGTATTACAAACGTAACACACACACATATATGTATTATAAAATATGCACTTTCAATGAAATCATCATCTACTGAATATTACTCTTTTATAAGCAAATATATTTAAATAAACTGCTAATTTGTTTTCCTCAAATTGGTTTCATGCTCTACCACTAATATAAATAGTTGTGTAAAATAAGAAATATATAATTGCTATAAGGTATCAATTGTAGTGAAATGACTCACAATGAATCTGTTTGAGACACTGATCAGAGGAAAATTCATGCACATTTATTTTTGATTTTTCTTTTCATTTAATTTATTGCAATATAGAAAAATTAGCAGTGGTAAGAGAAAGACTTCATCCTCTTTACAGTTCTATAATTACAGTGTAGATCAGTGGTTCTAAAACTTTTGTACTGGTGATCCCTTTCACATAGCAAGCCTCTGACTGCGACCCCCCTTATAAATTAAAAACACTTTTTTATATATTTAACACCATTATAAATGCTGGATGCAAAACGGGGTTTGGGGTGGAGGCTGACAGCTCACGACATCCCATATAATAACCTCACGACCCTATTAGGGGTCCCAACCCCCAGTTTGAGAGCCCCTGGTGTAGATCATTAAGTATGATAAGGGCGAAATATAGAAAACAAACCAAATTTTGACTTGAGCAATGGCTTCATTTTCAAAACATAATTTAAAGCGTATGTTTGCAATATTTCTTGAAAACAACTACAGTTACTATTCCATTATCTGACTGGCACCAATGTTAAAAGAGCAAAGATAAACTATGTTATCCTGGTAAATATATATGCAGCACTGGTTTGAATGGAGCACTCTAGAACACAGATATGTAATATATGCTTGCTTGCCTTTTATCAGAAGAATTCAATTTCTTCTTAGATCAGAAGAGTTCAATTTCTTTTATACAATAATTAAACTAGAATTGCTAAAACTATGGTTCATCTTATATACTATTGGATCGGAACAAAATAAGCTTTTGAGTTATAAAAGTTATATTGATTGTTTAAAGAATTCTTTTTTTCTCCCTTACACCATAAGTTAATGGAAGAATGTACTGTTAATTGCACTAATGATGTCCACTTTTGGAACTTATTGAATAACAGCCTGACCTTGAGAGCTGCTGAATACCTCAAACTCCCACCGAAGTTATTCACCCCAATGTAGCTGAGAGCAGAATTTGGCCTACGGTCTTCTATTTTTGAGTAATCACTTATGTGAATACAGATTGTATTGCCATTTCCATGCTACAAAAACCCTCGATCAAAGGATTGATTCTACTGTAGCTATTAAATAAATGAAAATGCATTTCAACCTGTACTATGCAGCATTGCTGTAGACCTGAAGAAGATCTCCGTGTAACCTTGAAAGCATCTCTTTCTTACCAACAGAAGTTGGTCCAATAAAAGATATTACTTCACCCACCCTGTCTCTCTTTCAACCTATAACACAGTCATGAAACAATGTACCATCACAAAGCTGACACAGGACTTCCTAAGATACCTAGTACCACCATAATAATGGAAATAATGGGCTAAATTCTTTCCTGTCATATAGTCCAGGAAACCCCAATGGGTTTGATTCTCAGTTACTCCAGTCCTGTGGTTGGGGCAGGAATGAAGAGGAATTAAAGGTAAATTTAAGTCACCTTTGTGCTCCTGTACTCTGGAGTCATTCAGGAGCTTTCCTGGTCCCTAGTGTAAGTTGGAGTAACCTGAAGGCTGCTGCAACTTACTTTCTGCTTCCCATGGCCTCTTACAGGCTCTGGAAATCAGAAAATAACCACAGTACATGGAATTTCAGCCATGTCCCCCTTGACACCCTGACCTAACCCCTATACCTTTGGGCCTGGGGCCAGGACAACTGTACTTCTTTCTACTAGTTTTATATCAGCCAGGAGAGCTCTCTGCACTGTGGATATTATATGGGGCATTTCCATCCTTTTAAGGAACTTTTACACTGCCAGAGTTGTGTAAAGTGGACAATGTAAATAAGAATCATGCCCATTGTCTTCAATGGATTTGCAGAAGGTGTAAAGACAAAATTTGGCTCACTTAAGTGCCATTACTTATGCTGTAGAATGGTGACTTACATTGCAATGTGCCGTGTATAGCATGCAGTAAAACACAGGGGAAACATAAAAGGCTTGCCAGCAGAAGAGGAACACCTCACCCTTCCCAAAAAAACCAACCCAACATATCAGGTCTGATACTTCACTGTTTTGCACACTTTGTACGTTTATTTACACCTGTGCAAGGTGCTGATTTGACAGTATTTTACTCTGCACTCATTTTGCAGAGGTGTAAAGGAGTACACATGATGCAAGGGAGAGGAGAACTGGCCCATGTTCTCCAAGTGCCTGATCCAAAGCCCACTGATATCAATAGAAAGACACTTATGAACTTTAGTGTATTTTGTATAGGCTCTAAAAGAAGATACAGGCAAATTATTTAACTGTGGAATGTACTATTTCAACCAGTGAAAATTTTCACTTCAAGTACAAAGAAAAAAAAGCAAACTAAAGAGAACTTTTCAAACTTTAGTTCTTTGTAACATTTCTAATAAGAAATGGGATACTTCCTTCTTAGCTTGCGAATATCAGTAGCAATATAAACGATACTTCAATTTCACTTTGACAGCAATAATAACAAATGTTTTTTTCCTTTTTGCTGAAAACCATCACTCAGTACCGTTTACCCAAGCAGTCTGTCTCTGAGCTCTGTGACCCACTATACTTTGTAATATAGGCAGCATGCTGTCATTTTAACCTTCTAACATGATGGCAAAGGAAACAAAAATGGCAACCATTCCTATGGTGATGTAATAATTGTATTAATTTTTTTCAAAAATGGGCAAGAGGGAGGAAAATGAGAGAGGCTTAAAAGATACTAACTACTCTAAACTGAATGTTGTGAGTTTGAGAATTTCTGTGCTAAAAAAGTAAAAACACAAGTCCATCAGTGAATCTGAAAGCTAACTGTGAAAGTAGCATGGCCATTTGAAATATATACAGGTTAAGGGAACAAAAGATTTACAAGGCTAGATTTTCTCATTTATTTGGAACTTTCTGTGCCAGTCTGGCAAAGTAAATAAGCCAGAGAGCTGCTGAATTTTCCTAGCTAAGGATTCTCCTGATGCAAATGAGCTGCAAGCTGGTGCAGCTGTGGGGGGCAGAGTGAGGGCACAAAAGGGAGCAATAGCCTGCCAGCAGCAGAATTCTAATACCTCAAACAGCACCGGAGCCAAGGCTGCTCTACCCTACGCTGGGGTTATAGCCAGTGCAGAACCGGCCTCACAATCAAAGAGTCGTGGCTGGCTATTTTGCAGCCCCCTCAGTTGCATTCGAAGGATAACAGGTATATCTAAGAATTTAGGCCACAGTCTTTCCTTAGTCTATATGTGTGACTGCCATAATTGTCATGGTTGGTATGCACAAACACAGAGTGGAGGACTTCTACAGGACTTAAATATTGTTATTTGAGCATTTGTGAAATCTGAATGAACTTGAAGTGAAGGAATATTTGCCACAATTTAATATAACATAACATTACACTTCGTGACATGGGTCACAGAAAATTTTGCTTCTCTAACTTCCATCAACTTATATATTTTGGCAGATATGAAATTACTTATTCAGGTTCATAAGACTTGCAGCTGGCTCCCTACTTAAATCTGGCAGTATTCTAAAATATCAGGAAAGGCAACTGGAAAAAATCCATGTCAAATCCATCTGTTTAAACTTCGTTTACTTGTGGTAACAGCATACACATGTCTAAAGTTACTGATAAATCACAGAAAGCTTATGTAATCCTGTTGCTATCCAAAACTAAAACCAATATTCATCTTCATCTAATAACCAGAGAAAATCACTGTACACATGTATCACATATTCAGTGGTGGTCTTTAATTTATCTGTTAAAAAAGGGCGGGGATTTTCACAAAATTAAGAAAAGGGGAGAAATGCACTCCCTGCATCTCAGGTTTTATTGGAAAAATCTGTTTAAGCAGTAACAAAAAAAAATCTGACTAATTTTTCTATAAAGTCATATTTTCGTTTGTTGTAACTTCTGTTATATTAATTTTTTTTTAATAAAGAGCAAAAAAGAAAATTTCTCACATGAAAGCTACCTAAGAACATAAGAAATACCATATATACCAGAAGTCCATCTATTTTGGTATTCTCTCTCTGACAATGGTCAGTATCAGATGCATCCGGGGAAGGGGCTGGAATCTTCAGAATGGTCAATTATGTAACAGCTAGCTCATATGGAAGCTTTCTTCCTAACTCCCTTCTATTACACATGCAACACCCTGAAGTAGGAACATTTATAACTCCTATATTCATGTACATACATGTTGAATGCTTTCTTGATTCCAACTAAGCTGTGCATTCCATGGGTTAATTATGAACTATGTAATAAATAATACCTCCTTTTCCAGAATACGAGAAATCTCTCCTAAAGTCCTGTCCAGAGCAGAAACCTTGTTGTTTGCCAATGAACTGCTATCCTGTACTTGGAACTGCTTTAGAAGATCTTTTGCTAATCGCTGCAGCCTTCAACATTAAACAAAAGATAAAAATGAGTTAAAAGAGAAAAAAGTTACATTCAAGTAAAATTGCATCTTATAAAGATACCTACTGAAACTTTATGAGCCTCAATTTGATTAAAATAACTAAGAAAAATCTACATACAGGTATTTTTACTCATACTGCAGTAGCATCCAAAATGTGTACCACAGAGGAAGGCAGCCCCAGCTTAGAAAGAACACACTCTAAAAGGACAAGGAGATGAAGAAAGGGGGAAGTAAGGCAGCATGCAAGTAAAGAGATTAGGGCAATCATAAGCACTTATTAGTCACCTGTTTGTTTGCTGCTGCTGCTGTCTTTTTTAAGTTAATCACAGTTAATTTCCCGCATCCTTCCTCCACAACTCAACCAATTTGTCTTTCCCAGCTTCAGTTCCAGTATCCTTTTACCTTCTCCTCCCAGCATTCAATTATCTCCCTCCACAAAGATGAGCAATTCACACAGGAGAAGAGTAAGGAATATAGAAAAGTAGATGATTTAACTAGTTTCTTAAGAAGTGGGTTTTTAGGGGAAACTGAAATGAAGAGAGTACAGTGGCTTTACAGACCAGTTCAGGAATGGCATTCCATTCACTAGAGGCCAAAAAGAAAGTGTGGTGGTAGCTGTGGAAGATATAGAGATAAGGTGGGATGGAGCTGGTTTCATTGGTGGAGCAGCATGAATGTGGGAGGATGGCATAAGAAACAAGTAGGGATAAGTAAGGAAGGAAGTTATGCAGGACCTTGAAATGGATCATAAGGAGTCTGAACATCATGAGTGGGGGAAGGGAGAGCCAGGAAGCATTCACAGTGAGGGGAGCGGGGGGAGGGGAAGAATGACAGGAAAGGGAAGATGATCTTAACTAGTACCAGAAGGTTAAAAAGAGAATCAGCATGTCTGTAGAATCTATATCAAGATCATTTGTAGTTAATGATTTAATAAAAATTCTAAATGGGGGCAAGGCCTAAGCAGGGAGAGCTCCTGCTTAATCAGTGGAAGATGTTATTTTTTATTTCTTTCACTGAAAAACAGTTAAGTAAATAAATCTATAAAAAGACTTCATACGATTCTGAATCTTGAGAGTTAAAATGCCCAATAAAAGTAAAAATAAAAATGATCATCAGGATTTCTTTGAGCCTAGGACATGTTAGCATCTGGTCAGCTAAACCCGCTGACATTCAGCCAGAGGGTTTTTCTGGGAAAGGAATGCTAACAGTGGGTTAAGTCCAGACAAGATATTCTCTGCACTACCAGGCCCTCTATGAAAAATAAAATTGAAAGAATTTCTTCTGTACTTACTAAACTGGGAGCAAAGATGGAAAAAAGAAGAAAAAGTGTAGAACTTGGGACTGCAAATCTAATTAACTAAATACTGTGACTGAACAACAGAAGCAGGTTACAAAATTAGTGAAAAGCAGAATGGCTGCAGCCCATACTTAGAAAATCAAATAAGATCTAGAAATGTAAGCAGTCTAGGCACTTTTAGAGGAAGGTGATTCAGACCTACTTTATCTTCTGGAAAATCTGTAAGATTTTTTAATCTAAATAAAGATCTATTTGAAAATAACTTCTGCATTCCCATGAGGAAAACCCATAAAACTTCATTAAAAAGAGAGAAGCACCATAATCACAACTCTGTCTGATCTGAGAGAGCAAGATGGAATTCTGCTTGCTGTAGGTAGTATAAAAAGAGCAGAAATCAAATGGGAGTAAGATCTGAGATCAGCCATGCAGGCCAAAAGAAGGGACTTTGATGCTCTTTGAGAATTTGGTGGATAAAGATGATAAAGTCTCATTTTTCTATATGGCAAATCTTAAAGCCTCTTTTGATGAGAAAGTGTGTATATGTATGTTTGTTTTATCTACATCTATGTGCGGATCAGACATCAGTGTCCAGAGTAATTAACATTATCTAAGACGCTGCTCAAGGCAAGCACAAGGATTAGAGAGAAGTGAAAAAGGTCTTACTGAATAATTATAATTAAGGCTAAGATTTTGCCACTGATATTTTTAACAAAAGTGAGGGACAGGTCATGAGCAATAAAGAAAAATTCATGGAAGCTCGTGACCTGTCCCTGACTTTTACAAAAAATATCCGGGACAAAATGGGGAGCTCAGCCTGCGGTGGTGCGGGGCACGCAGGGCGGCTCAGAGCTCCCGGCCCCTGTGGGCTGAAGTCACAAAGGTCTCTGGAAGTCACAGAATCCGTGACTTCCACGACCTCTGTGACAAAATCGTAGCCTTAATTATACTATTAAACTGCCATCTCTGTTGACAAGTTCCCTTGGTTCCTTCCCAAGTTGGAAAGGCCTTTTTGTGTGCACTTGGCAATACACCATTGCGCAGAGACTGTCCGGTTTGGCCAATGTACAATGGCAGAGGGGTAATGCTGGCACATGATGGCATATATCACATTGGTAGATGTGCAGGTGAATGAGCCCCTGATGGCGAGGCTAATGTGATTAGGTCCTATGATGGTGTGTCACTTGAATACATATGTGGTCAGAGTTGGCATCGGGCTTTCTTGCAAGGATAGGTTCCTGAGTTAGTGTTTTTTTTGTGTGGTGTGTGGTTGCTGGCAAGTATTTGCTTCAGGTTGGGGGGCTGTCTGTAAGCGAGGACTGGTCTATCTCCCAAGACCTGTGAGAGTGAGGGATCATTTTTCAGGATAGGCTGTAAATCTTTGATGATGTGCTACACATCTACCAATGTGATATATGCCATCATGTGCCAGCAATGCCCCTCTGCCATGTACATTGGCCAAACCAGACAGTCTCTACGCAAAAGAATACATGGACACAAATCTGACATCAGGAATCATAACATTCAAAAACCGGTAGGAGAACACGTCAACCTCTCTGGCCACTCAATAAAAGACTTAAGGGTGGCAATTTTGCAACAGAAAAGCTTCAGAAACAGACTCCAACGAGAAACTGCTGAGCTTGAATTAATATACAAACTAGATACCATTAACTTGGGTTTGAATAGAGACTGGGAGTGGCTGGGTCATTACACATATTGAATCTATTTCCCCATGTTAAGTATCCTCACACCTTCTTGTCAACTGTTTAAATGGGCCATCTTGATTATCACTACAAAAGTTTTTTTCTCCTGCTGATAATAGCTCACCTTAACTAATTAGCCTCTCACAGTTTGTATGGCAACTTCCAACTTATCTGTATGTATATATATTTCTTCTTACTATACGTTCCATTCTATGCATCCGATGAAGTAGGCTGTAGCTCATGAGAGCTTATGATCTAATAAATTTGTTAGTCTCTAAGGTGCCAACAAGTACTCCTGTTCTTTTTGCGGATACAGACTAACATGGCAGCTACTCTGAAACACCATTATATTGTTACATATTACTGAGAGTCTGTATAAATGCTTTAATTAAAAGTTAATAATTTGGAGTACTGAGAAACTAGAACGTTATCTATGGCTGGAGCAGATTTGCTCATTACTTAGTTATTTTCCCTCCACCCAAATAAGATGGGCACTGACTCATACTAATTTGTTTCATCTGGAATGATCTTTGTTTACTGGAAGTGCTCGTTAGTTTTAATGTTAGACTGCATATTTGACAGTAGGAATTTTTCTTCTCTTTTTGGATTATATTGACTTTGACCTTTTTATAAAGACTGAGCAAAAAACGTGTGGCTATTATTAACAACAACAATTTCTAAGTTAAATGTATGGTCTGAATAATGTTTATTGTATTTTTGGATGCCCATCTAAACTATGCACTGGAACCGTATGGCTTCTTGATGACTTATGTCTCAATTTTTAAAAATTCTGAAGTTGCGGATGGTATAGTATGTCTCTCTCTGAAAGATGGATTGTGGAAGGGAATATAATGGAAGAGTTAAGATTGCTTTTGGAATATGCAATGTGATATTTTACATATATACATTTAATTAAGAGACTGTATAAACTGTGAGTGTAATTAAATACCATCTTTCCTGCAATGTAGAGTTTAGGAGTTCTGCAGGGTCCCTGATTCTCCTTATCTCACACTGACCTGAAAAAAGTCCCCTCCAAAGCATGTGTGTCTAGGGAGGCAAAATCTGGTCTATTGCAAATCGACACTACAGAACAATGTTCAAAAAGAACTTTTGTTGAAAGTCTTGTCCTAATGGGTTATGAACCAACGAGGCTGGTAATTAAGAGATGAGAATAACTTAGTGATGTGCTGGATGGTACTCTTGGGGGCTTTTGGGAACTCTTTTACCATCAAATTGAAGGAAGAAATGGGGTGACTCCATGAATCTAATGGAGCTGTGCCTTGGATACAGCTCTATCATCCTTGCCAGAGATAACTAAAATCTCCAGCGTTCATAAAAATAATTAATTCTGAACAATAATATTTTTTTAACTCTGCAAAGTACCAGATTGTGTCAAGTATTTTAAACAATCCCAGGGAAAGATATTCCCCAACTCTGTTCCTTCACTTCAACACAGACCCTATTTCAAACCAGACACACACACACACACACACACACACGCCTCCTACGGCTATATGAGGGCAGCGCCGCCACATCCTCCATCAATTCCTTTGTATTGAACTATGGTGGCTCAAAACTCAATGCAGAGGGAACGGATGGAGGCTCGTGGAATACATAAATATATAAAATGAATTTTAATGTTCTTCTCCAGTGATTGTGGGTGTGTCCTCTCCTCCTCTGGAATAGAGTGGGAGCCATTGTTTGTAATGGGCTCACCCCCTTCAACACAGGATAGTGGGCTACTGATGAAAAAGGAGGAGAGTGAGTGAAGGAGCTGCTTGAGAGAGTGAGAGTAGAGTTCCCTCTCTTTCTAGGGAAAGCCAAGGAGCAAGCTAGTTGTGGGAAAGCCAGGCTGCTGTAGAAGTTGGTTGAAGGAGCATCTACCAGGGATGAGGACCAAGTATAGCAAGGATTGTGTCATTAGCAGTGAGAGATACCAAAGTCCTTACTTTGATTATAGATGTAACTGTAGCAGAATGTCAG